CTTCTGTGTCTGTGTTAATTGGTTTCCCTTTTCTTTGTTGAAGAGGGTCTGTGCAATCCTTCTGCCTAGTCCGCCATCTTGCCCCACCTCCCTGAAAATGGTTTTGATGGAGTGGTAGGATTGGTGATGATATTATCCATTTTTATTTCCTTTGTTGTTATGTAGTTATTTATTAAATAAATAGATTTTGTTTTAAATTCCAAGGCAAATTTAAAAAAAGGACATGTCTACCCCTTTGTAACCTTGGAGTGTATTTTTGCATGGTAACGGATGTTAGGAATCAAGTGCTCCACCAGAAACTTGACACAGAAAGAATTTTCTTGCAAACATTCTGCAGTGGCGCCTCTGAGTAGAAATAAAATAGAGGTGAGAAGACCTGGAATAAAGTGGAACTAGACTAGAGAGAAAGTATAATGGATTTAATGTCACAGTCTTAAACAATTTCACTTTCCTCACTCCCTGATTCAGTCTGGCTGCCCAATGCACTGTGCATAGGGTGTACCATGGACCAAGACTACGCTGGGGCTAGCGCCCCCTAGAGGTGTCTCATGCAGCAGCCCTCCCCAACTGTAGAGACTTCCTCTTTAATCTCAGTGTTATTTTCTTTTTCTTATTATTATCATTACGTTACATTTTCCTGCTCTGAGTTCTTAGAGAATAAACAGCTTACCCACAGGAGGTAAATTAGCTCTTTCTGGAACTCTAATAGTGGCAGGAATCCAAACACCACCTAACATTCACAGAGTGCTTTATAATCTACTAAACACAATTATGTACATTACATCAGGTTTCATACAGAGGCCAGTCATCCAAGAGGTGAGGTGATTGTTGATAGGACACTGTTCTAGGTTGACCTGCTCCAAGTCAGCACCTTTCCCACCCTAATAGGCACTCTCACCAAAGGACTCTGATCCAGAGGACTGAAGCAATGTCACAGGAGTGGTTAGCTTTGGCTTTAGGCAGAGTTTGTCTCCAGTAGGCCTGTTCTTTCATGCCATGGGTGTAATTATTGATCTCAGCTGATGTTTCACTCCATTGCCATTTTCTTTTTTTTCAAAAAACTTTACTTTTATGTGTGAGTCGTGCCAGTTAAATCTTAAATCATCATTTACAATTTAAAACAGAAAAAATGCATGAAGTCAGCTTCCAGGATAAGGAAAAGGAACACCTGACACGGCTGCAGGATGCCGAGGAGATGAAGGTGTGTACGGCAGCCCCTTCCACAAGCCCAGCTTGCATTTGGACCAGATCCTTTTGTTCTTAGAAAATCTGTTGCCTTCATAGATGTGTATGGCAGTGTAGGAGGGAGAGGGGAAGACCCTGCTGGGCTTATGAGAAGTTCTCAAGAGTATGTCCTGACTTTGAAATGAGATACAAAGATGTGGCATTCCAGAAACCCTGAGAAGTCCGTAGATAATGGTTATGTTGCATTAATACCTCTTTCTCTTCTCATTCCTGATGAATAGGAGAAAGAGCCAAAACCAAACTCAACCAAGTGCCCTCAAATTGATTCTGATTCACAGGGACCCTATAGGACAGAGTGGAACTGCCCCATAGGATTTCCAAGGCTGTAAATCTTTACAGAAACAGACTGTCATATCTTTCACAGAGGGCCTGGCAGGTTGGAACTGCCTACCTGTTGATTAGTGGCCGAGTGCTTTAATCACTGCACCACCAGGGCTCCTTAGGGGAAAGAGCAGCACCCTAAAAATCACTGCATGGGCTGTGTTGTTAGCATTCAATCTGGAGAAAAGTTCTTTTTTGAATGGAAGAAAACATCTCCCTCCTCTCCCTTTTTAAATATAAACCCTAAGGTTTGGTTTCTGTCTTAAATATAAAACCAAAAGCAAACTCACTGCCATCTAGTCTATTCTGACTCACAGCCAAATTATAAACTGCCCCCTAAGGTTTCCAAGACTGTAATGTAACTCTTTATGGAAGCAAACTGCTTCATCTTTCTCCAACTGAGCAGCTGGTGTGTTCGAACCACTGATCTTTTGATTAGCAGCCAAATGTTTTAACCACTGTGCCACCAGAGCTCCTTACCTTAAATGTAGAGCACTTTATTTTGTTCCCTTTTTAAACAGTAAAAGAAAATGTCAGAAAAGGATGGGGAAGTAAGTTCTTTAGGTGAATAAAATTGGGATGGGAGACAATATGGAATTTTGATGTGTTTTAGGCAGACTTTAAGCCTCGTTGAATGTAAGCCCACAGCTCAAAGCAGTGCCCACACTGCATGATGCTGCTTGCTCCAGCCTCAGTGGGCTCTGCTCCTGCTTTCAAAGCTTTGGTGGGAAAGTCTCCATTGAGTTGCAACATAAATCTCTGCAGTCAGCAGGGTGTAGACTGACGCCTAAATATTACAGACCAGGAGCTGTGACTCACATGGGTCACATGGCTGGTCTGAGGGCACCTGGGTAGTATCCTTGCCCTCTGATTGACCTGGCTAGGGAGGCCAAGTGGCTCAGGTGAGCTGCAGAAGGTGAAAGAATAACTTACTTAATCAGTGCACTAATTTGCTCCAAGGGCCTGCTCAATTTTATAACACAGCCTGTGTTTTGTTGTCCCAGTAAAAGAATGCTGAATTCTGGGAGCACAAGAACCAGAAATGGCCCCCGTGTGGGGACCTGACATCCAAAGGACCTGGGGTAGGAAGTGGAAGCAAATCCAGGGCATGTCACAGGGTGGGCTGAGTGCCAAAGAGAGAATGACACGTTTCTCTTGGCCCGGGCTGCAGAAGGCTCTGGAGCAGCAGATGGAGAGCCACCGGGAAGCTCACCAGAAGCAGCTGTCCAGACTTCGAGACGAGATCGAGGAGAAGCAGAAAATCATTGATGAGATTCGGGAGTGAGTTGGCATGGGGCTGGGGGGTGGGCACTGCTTGGGCCTCATGGGCCATCTGAAAGTGTACGGTCTTTAGCCAAGGGCCTTGCCCTCCTTGCACTGTGGGCTCTGGCCCTGCCCTGGTCCCTGTCCTCCAGGTGACCCAGTGGGCTTGGCATTCTGTTCCTGAGGTATGTTCTCCCATCTGGAGCTGAGCCTCAGGACTCTGGTGTGGCAGGTGGCAGGCAGGCCCAGCAGCTATTCCTAGTCCCCACGGGGCAGGGTCACACTGACGACTCAGCTGGGCAGACACTTGCCTCAGAAGAGGGGGAGACTGTGTGAAAGACCAGAAAAAACCCATACTGGTCTTGATCAGGGGTTCTGATATGTCAGTAAATATACCATGGAAGCCTCCTCCTCAGTCCTACACACACATGCTCACTGCATGACTCAGAGCCACCTGGGCATTCACACACACTTGATAATGACCTTTACCTCATGTATCTGCACTGCTGCCAGGAAAGCCTCATCATTTTGTCTCTGGTGGTATCCCCTTACAGCCCCCGCTCCTCAACAGCCATTCCTTCCTCTTACCTCCCACCTCACTGGCAACACTGAAGTCACCAGGCAGGAAGGCACCTTACAGGCTCGTCTCCTGAAGGTTCTTAGCATTTTATGCCATGGATCCCTTCGGCAGTCAGTGAAGCGCTTTTCAGAATAATGTTTTTAAATGCCCAAAACAAAAGACGTAGGGTTTACAAAGAAAACTTAATTATATTGAAATACAGTTCTAACTACTGACCCCTCTGAGATCTAGACCAAAAGTCCCTCCTCCCTTCCCACCCCTTTCTGTAGATGAGGAAACATTTCTACCTGGGAAGCAAGGTTAAATGGTTAAGGTCATACTGCTAAATAGGAATCAAACTGGAGTTAGAGTTTAATTCTCCAGACTACTGATCCAAATCTCTCTTCAGTGTACAGGAGCTGCTCCCACAGTACATTAGCGTTTTAAAGAGCAGAATGGTAACAGAAGCAAAAGTCTGAATGGTTTGATTGGGACTCTGAGCACAGTCCACCAAAGTAAAAGATTTAGCATCTTCTATTTAAGGAAGGTTGGGCAATCCTACTTCCGTAGTGATACTGCCTCGGAAACCCAAGGAGGGGTCGCATCTTCTATTTAAGGAAGGTTGGGCAATCCTACTTCCGTAGTGATACTGCCTCGGAAACCCAAGGAGGGGTCGCTATGAGTCGGGGCCGACTCGACGGCAAATAACAACAACAACATTCCTATTCTCCTAGGCCACCCTCATGCTACCTCCGATGTGTTTTCCCCATCAAGCAAATCTCATGCTCATTATTCTGATTAATCACCCTCAAAATGTTCAACAAGAAGCAGGGAGGAGGGAGGGAGGGAGGGAAGAAAGGCGAGAAAAAGGAGGGTTGGTGAGCATGTTATTAGGTGGGAAAGCTTCCTTCCCAGTGCCTTTCAAACGGACCCTGGGTTTTCCTTCATATAGTGTGTAATCTGTTCCTTCACAGTCACTTAGGCATGGCCATACGAAAGGGCGGATACAAACGTCAACTGAGTGTCCCCAACCAGATGGCAAGTTTCTCCATACCACCTCCTCAAGGGCTCCTTCCACAGAGCAATAACTGTTCTTCTGTCACTGAGGAAGTTGGGTTTGGGAGATAATTTTAAAAAATGTAACTAGATGTGGGGGCAGAGAGGAAGGGAAGGTTGAAATGACCAAGTATGGTTACCTGAAGGCAGTGCCTGCTGTCGACAGAGCAGAGGAAGCAGAATTCTCCCAACAGGGGGCTCTCATTCTGTTTTAAAATATCAGCCTTTCCCCATTTCATTATGTTTCATTTGAAGCTCTTGCACAAGCAAACTATAAATACATCCTCAAAGCCTTACACTTTGTGCCTTTGGATGGTCCCCAGAATTAGTTTTCACTTGGGCAGGGAAGCAACTGTGAGTTTGTTCTCCACTCCCTCAAAAATCTTCCGGAATTACCACCTCTATTGCACAGAACTAATGGGGTTGGAACAGAACCACATTTTCAGTTGGATGGCTTGGAATTTCAGACTGATGTCTGAAATTTGTTTGTTTTTTCCTCTCCATTTCAGTTTGAATCAGAAACTGCAACTGGAACAAGAGAAGCTCAGTTCTGATTATAACAAGCTGAAGATAGAGGACCAAGAGAGAGAGATGAAACTGGAAAAGCTCTTGTGAGTACAGTTTAAATATCTCCTGGGTTCCTTCTCAACCCTGAGAGATCTTGAGCACTCATCTGTGTCATTCAGATGCCCACATATTCTGGTTAGATGGGGCTAATCTAAAAATAGACAATGGCTGTTTGTGTCACTTGGTTTGTTTTACTGATTTATCTGCAGATGCAGATGGTGTCTGTATAACCCTCTGATATGTCTTTGGTGGGTTATCATTCCTTTTTGTTTTGTAGATTGCTCAATGATAAGAGGGAGCAAGCCCGAGAGGACCTGAAAGGGCTGGAGGAGACAGTGGTATGTGAAAGTCAAGATGTTTCCCAACTCATTTTAGTCTCAAAGACTGGATTATTTTGTTTGTTTATTTAAAATTTTCATCTGGCGGTGTTTCTTACAGATAATTTTAGACATAAAACATATCATTTAGACAAAAATGGGAGTTGTAGGATTTTTCCCCAGCTCTTGATAGAATGTTGTTGTTGTGTGCCATCAAGTCAATTCCCAGTAATAGAGTAGAACTGCCCCGTATAGTGTCCTAGGCTGAAATCCTCACAAGAGCAGATTGCCAGGTCTTTGCTCCTGCACAGCAACTAGGTATGTTTAAATTACCGTCCTTTCAGTTGGCAGCTGAGTGCTTAACCATCGTATCACCAGGGATTCTTTTGATAGAATGGTTATCAATCAATCCATCAATCCCTGGTGCACTCACTCTGGAATACCATAGTAATAATTAACTGCTAATCAGTGTCTCTGTGCTTTGTGAGATTCAGCAAATATTTATTGAGGACCCTAGGACCTACGAAGTGCTGAGTTCTGGGACTCTTGGGATGCATCGGTACACAGCAGAGATAACATACGATCCTGGCCCTCATGATGCATATGTTATTGAGATAAACAATAAAAAAGCCAATCATGTGCTATGTTAGAAGGTTATAAAAAGTGCAGAGGGTAATGTTTGATGGAGAGCCCATGGAGGGAGGTGGCCATCGAGTAGAGACCTAAAGCAGGTGAAGGAGTGAAACATGAGGATGTCTAGGGGAAGAGCATTCCAGGCAGAGGGGATAGCTTGTGCCAAGGCCCTGAGGTGAGTCCATGCCTGGCATATGGAGGGACATCAGGGAGGTCAGCATACTTACAGCTAAGGGAGTGAAAGGGAAGAGGAGTTGGGAGAGGGAGAAAGGCAAGAGGGGTACAGGTCAGGTGGGGCTTTGAGACCTGCAGAGTTTGGGGCAGAAGGGTGACAGAATTGGCTTACCTTTGAAAATTCTCATTATTTGAAATTCTGGTTGGTTTTCCCCATTTTGAATTCATGGGCCTTACCTCCTCTGGTCGGCATCTGCTGCAGTGCTCTGGAGGACGGCTGCCTGGCCCTAAGGGCCCTGGGAGCCCTTTGTGGTGAATGCTCACCATACCACACAGCAGTGTTTTCAGACAAACCATCCCAACATCACCTCTTGATTTGGTGAAAATATGTCCAGTCATTTTCACATGAAGCAGTAACAGGGAGAAATGGTTCAGATACTGTTACACATTTTGATCCCAATTGTCTTAGTTACCTAGTGCTGCTTAACAACATACACCACAAGTAATAACTTTACAGAAGAGAAATTTATAGTCTTACAGTTTGGAAGGCTAGCAGTCCAAAGTCAGGCCATGGCTCTAGGGGGAGGTCCTTCCTTGTTGGTGGCACTGTGAAGTCCTTGGTGTTCCTTGGGATTCCTTGGTGTCTTCCCCTGTGTGTCTCTTTGTGTTTGTTCTGTTCCTTTTTATAACTTAGGAGTGATTAGATTTAGGGCCCACACTACCCTGATAGTACATTATTAATTTAACAAAAGAAAAACCCTGTTTCCAAATGGGTTCATTCCATAAGACCATGACTTTCATAGATATTTATGGAGGACACAGTTCAATCTATAATATCATTCATGTATCATGGGACTGAGTTTGTCTCCAGAAGTTGATAGCCACAAGCTGTAGGTAGTTGATAACTCAGGGCTAGACCCAAGGCCGGCACTCTGGCTGCTGGGCCAGTGTGACTGCTTTCCAAAGCCAGATAAGGGAATGAGGACACAAGACATTTTAGACAAAGTAAGATGACAGTGTTCAAAAGAAATTGGGTCTTTCAAGCATGGTAGAAAAGATTGTGGAGAGGGTAGCTATAGGGAGAGTGGAAATGAAACTACAAAATTACCGATATCTTCATTTACATCCTCTTTTCTAGGGAAATCATACCCAAAATTATAAGAATTCAGAAAAAGATAAAATACTAAAAATTTACTGTATTCCCACCAGCCAGAGATAAATGATATTTCAATATCTTTTCTCCTTTTACCCCTGTGAAGTCTTGTGCACACTCTTTCTCCCTGGCTTTCACTTTCACGCTCTCATAAGCTCGCTTATATAGACGTTCACTCTCCTTTACCTCCTCTCTCACACACAAGTCATGTACACTCAGTCACTCACCATCACTCATTGTTTAACACACACGCAAACAAATACACCATCACACATTCATTCACTCCCACACACTCTCAACTTATACCCACACTTACTCATATACGTCTCTGCACAGATACCCACTCTCACACACTCACTCACTGTCACACCCAGGCCCTGACTTTCATGTTTTACACCTGTGTTCATCCACACACCCGCACCTGCACTCATTCACATACCTGTACTTACACACACACTCACATTTATCTTCACTCAGTATACTTGGCCTAACACACATGCACCCACACTGACAAATGATAGTCTCACTTTCTCGTTGCACACACTTTTGGCTTGCTTAGTCACTCTCATGTACTCATTCACTCTCATTCTTGTTCACCCTCAACTTATAGATTCACTCAACACACTCCTGTCACACACACAGTCATATCATATACCTCTGCTCTGTCAGGTTAACTCCTTCTAACACAACCACACAGTCACATTCTCACACTTAACATTGATCAGCCACACTTATTTACTCACACACTTATCCTCTTGCTTGCCACACACACACACACTCACATACTTACTCTACTCATTTTTGCTCACACATTTACTCACACATACACACTGTTTCTCTCAGACTTTCACATGCTTTTGCTCATACTCATGAGCATGGTATCTAAAGAACATGTAAATCAATCATTTTTTTTAATGTTTTGACTACTTTTTGTACAATGTATTTCCTCACTAGCCTCCTTATATCCAGCCAGTCATTCTTTCTGCCTCCCACACACTCACTTTCATTCTCAGTCACAGGTTTGTTGAGATGTGCATTTATACACACACATTCAACCTGCACTTGCACTCACACTCACGTGTCTGTTCTTCCACTTGCACACTCAATTACTAACACACATGGACTGACACAGTGAGTCTTGCTTTCTCTTTCTCACTCTCAGGCCCCCCCCATCCTTTCCATAATCACACACACACACACACACACACACACACACACTTAAAATCCAAGATTGGAAGCCTGCAGTATATACTTGTGTGTTTTCAATAGACCTTAGACCAAAATCCTTCCAAGCCACAAATCTTACTCAGAAACAGACTGACAGTCCTAGGCTGGCCATTCTTGGACCTTCCTTAGCTCAAGGCTTATGCTGCCTCCTTGAGCGTTTCGGTGGGAATGGGAAGGAAATGGAACCCACCGTCTGGAGGTTGAAATCTATGGAGCCCCCTCCTGGGGGAATCTTGGAAAAGGCTGACTGCCCATCGAGGGCCAGCTTGCTTTAATGAGCCCATCTGCCACAGGATACCATTGTCTGGGCTCCATGACTAGACTTTGTATTTCTACCTCCTTGGCCCACTCTCAGTGTCCACTGTGACAGCAAGCTGAGACCTGAGCGTCTGCATTAAGCACAGAGTCTATGAAGGGGAAAGCTTTGAGGGGAGAGAGAGAAAGGGAAGGCTAATGAGTATGCTGGAGGAAAATTCATTGATGTGGGAAGCCAAATGACAGTTGCCCAAGCATAAATGTACATAAATGTAACTCACAAACTAATTTAAGGACCTCCAACTGCCCCTCATAAGCTGTTTATTGTTAAATCCACCTAAAAACAGTGTGCAATAATAACTGTGCCAGGTACTATGTGTTATCTCAAACATAAAAAGAGAGAAAGTTGCCAAACTCAGGACTTGATATCATATGGCACTGACAGAGCCCCAAGGAAATGCCTGGCCCTTTGACAAAGCTCACATGCCTTCTTCACTTATTTTTGTTTGGTATGGTGCTGTTTTTCATCCAAAATATTAGCTGCGATACGGTTCAATCAGTAATAAACTCACTGAAGCAGGATTGAGGGCTGGTGGAGCAGTCGCAAGCATTCAGGAACAGGTTGTGGGGACTGGGCTCCCCTTGGACAGAGGCAGGAGCCAGTGTGTCTGCATAACTGTGAGCACTAGCTGCTGGCTTCCACCTGCTTCAGAAGGTGGCAGAGCCTTGGACAGGTACTATGTGCACATTATTCATAATAACAGATCCATTTGGCTTCCTGCAGAAAGTAATTTACCTCATCCGAGGAAGCAATTGACTTCAGGTGCTTCTTATTTCAACGCAGAATTGGACCACGTAATAAGGCCTTAAATTAATATAGAACCTTAATTCCAAGAGAATTATTGTTCCCACACCTTTATAGGCTGTTTGTTCCTCCCTTTTTTTTTTTTTTTTTTTTTTACCCCCTCCTATGAGCAGATGTGAGCTACACCCTTGACATTCTGTGTTAGAGTAGGTCAGTTTAGACAAATTGAAAAGCATACACGCAGAGTTTATCGTTGTCTCTTCCTTTATGGAAAAATATTTTGCAAGGAATTAATCATCTCTTGTAGTAAATACAGGAGCTCTGGTGGTGTGGTGTCCAAGTCATTTGACTGCTAACCAGAAGGCTGGCAGCTCAAACCCACCAGCCACTCCTCAGAAGGAAGACTGAGCAATCTACTTCCATAGAAATATCACCTCAGAAACCCAAGGAAGGGTTGCTATGAGTCGGATTCGACTTGACAGCAGTGAGTTTTTGGTTTTTTTTGAGTTTGTAGTAGATACATGGAGACTTGAATGGAAAGATGTTTGGATGTTCTGATTTTGGTAATCAAGATCACCAGGTTTGGCTCGGGCCCTTTTCTCAGCAATCTAATTCCTAAAGGTTCGTTTGTTAAAAATAATCCACAATGAAGAAAAAAAAGCCCCTAAGAAATTATTTACAATGACAGTTATAACAACAAAAGGAAATAATAAAAGACCAGTGGGAAAATGAAGTCAAATATGAACCATCAGTAAATTAATAATAACATGTTTATTATGAGTCCTTGGGTGGCACAGATGGTTAATGTTCTTGGCTACTCACTGAAAGGTTGGAGGTTTGAGTCCACCCAGGGGTGCCTCGGGAGAAAGACTTGGTGATTAACTTCCCCAAAATTCAGCTATTGAAAACCTTAGGGAGCACAGTTCTCTTCTGATACACATGAGATCACTATGAGTTGGAATCAACTTGATGAAACTGGTTTTAATGTTTATTAAACACTTACTATGTGTCAGGAACTGTTCTTATTATAAAAACCAAAAAAAAAAAAAAAACCCAAACTCACTGTCAAGAAGTTGGTTCCTACTCATAGTGACCCCTGTTGGGTTTCCAAGGCTGTAAATCTTTATGGAAGTAGATTGCCCCATCCTCCTTCCATGGAGTAGCTGGTGGGTTTGAACTGTTGACCTTTTGGTTAGCTGCCAAATGCCTTATCCACTACACCACTGTTGTTGTTGTTATGTGCGGTGGAGTCAGCCCTGACTTATAGTGACCCCTCCTTGGGTTTCCGAGGCGTATCACTACAGAAGTAGATTGCCCCACCCTTCTTCCAAGGAGTGGCTGGTGGGTTTGAACCACCAGCCTTCTGGTTAGCAGTCAAACGCCTTAGGCACTACACTACCACAGCTCCTACTACACCACTAGGACTCCTTATTCTTATTGTAAGGATCATATTATTTAATCTTCACAGCATCTCCTATAAGTTAACTTGCTTTTCCTTTTATGTTACAAATAAGAAAAGTGAGGCATAGAAAGGTTAAATAATTTGCCCAAGGCCAGCCAGGTGGAAAATGACAGAGCCAAGGCAATGGACTGACTGAAACTTGTGCTTTTTGTAACTACTTCATCTATAACCACAAGTATGTGATGTCAAGTATGCAAACATCTGGACCTGGGTCAGCAGAGGGTGTAGAAACATGAAAAATACCAATTAGTTAGAGGGGGAGAATGTGTGGCTAGTTTTTAATTTAAATTTTTTGATATTTGTATTCTCCAAGTATCACAAACTGGGTGATTTAAAACATCAGAAATTTATCTCTCATAGTTCTGGAGGCTAGAAGTCTAAAATCAAGGTCTTAGAAGGGTCATGCTCTCTCCAAAAGGATAATCTTCCTTGTCTCTTCCAGCTCTGGTACCTCCAGCATTCCTTGGTTTGTGATAGTATAATTCCAGTCTCTGCTTCCACAGTAAAGCTAAGTGGGTTTGAACTGCCAACCTTTTGGTTAGTGGCCAAGTGCTTAACTTTTTACACCATCAGGGATCCTCATAAAGAGATTAAGGTCCACCCAGTTTTTACTAATTACATCTGCAAAAACCCTATTTCCATATAAGGTCATTCTGAGGTTCTAGGGTTAGAACTTTAGCATCACAATTCCACCTGTAACAGTATTATGTATAATTTTATATGATAAAGGAAGGAGGAGAAGAAAAAAATCCATTCTGAAACAACATAGCTGACGAGGAATTTTTGTAAGAAAACTTAAGAAATTTTGTGGTTGAGAAAAATAATGGTTTGATGTGGAGTACAGAAAATGAGCAGGCTTTGTTACAATTCATAGTATATTGTTTGTTTAAATTCCTGGTTTCTGTACCTTGATGTGCTCCTGACAATGAGGCTGAATAAGCAGCAGACAGGGTGTAGGGACAAGTCAGAGGAAGTGAAGGGAAACCACATGGCAGCTTCACAAAGCGTGTGGAGACCACTGGGGTTAATGACCTTGTGCCAAATGTGTCATAAATTTAATGTGTTTCCTGATTTAAGTGGCTTTTTAAAAATCTTTCTTCCAGTCTAGAGAACTGCAGACACTTCATAACCTTCGCAAACTCTTCGTCCAGGATCTGACCACCAGAGTTAAAAAAGTGAGTTCTATTTTGTCTGCATGGGACTGACTGAGAAAACACTAAAAAGATAGCCAGAATCATATTCTGTTGAAATAGTGCTTGCTTAAGTTGAGATTGGTTATACTTAATGATTAATTACTTTATGCCAGAGAATGTTATTCAGACAATCTGCTAGAGGTAAAGAATACTTGGGGACATTGTTCCATCTGATTCTTCCTTCTTAGTCAGAAATGACTTGACGGCAGTGAGTTTGGTTTGGTTTTTGGTTAGTGAAAAGAAGTTATTGTCCTTCCCTGGCCTTCATTTTAAGAAATATTTATCTGACCATACTGTGTGAACCCTACTGTGGTAACACAGGAAAAGACAGAGGGATCACGTCACAGTGTTGTCCTGAAGCATGGTGAGCAATGCCAGACACGTAAAGAAGTTTGATGGTGGAGAGCCCTCATGTTTGTCTGCTGGGAGGTCACTGTGGGCTAGGTCATAGTTTATAAACCACTTGAACATTTGCTTCCCTCAGCAACCATGTAAGTGGTTCTGAGGGTTCTTGTTTTGCAGATGAAATAGGCTCAGATGTTACTTACCCGAGGTTGCACAGCTAGGAAGAACCAGAGATAATATTTGAATCCAGGTCCATAGCACTTCTTACTCTGACCTTCTTTCATCTTCATGACACACACAGTGATCTTGGAATAGCATCCTAAGAATGAATCCCCAGAGCAGCTTGCAGCAGGGGGTTAAGGAATGAGGAAGAGGTGAAGGCAGCCAGGGAAATACTCTTTCAAAATATTTAAATGGGATGGGGGAGGAGCAATGGGTCCATATTCAGAAAAATAATAGGATTGGAGGAAGGTATGTTTAAGAAGAGTGTGTATCTGTGTATGTTTATGTTTGTGAGGGTATGCATGTGTACACATGTTTGTGACTGTTTATGTATGTTTCTGTGTGTGTGTAAAGGAGCCAAGGGAAAGAGGTAATGTATATAAAAAAGAGGTGATTGATAGGGTAAGGTTTGAGAGGAGCCAGAGTTAATAGCAATAATGATGTACTAGGTTGGTAAGAAGGGACACATTTTCCTCAGAGGGAGGAGTGGGTGTGGAGAAGGCAAAGTGTCGAGATATCTGCAGGGAAATATGTGACAATGGAAAGAAGTTGCATCTGATGACTTTGATCTTCTCAATTAATGTGGAGGCTCGGTTCTCAGTGGAGAAGGAGGGAAGGGAATGGAGGCCCATGGAGACTAGAAAGGTTCAGACTGCTGTGGTGGAGGAATTTGCTAGGGATGAGGCAAAGGGATGTTTTGGTGGTGTATGTCAGCTGAGGGTCAGAAATGTGGATTTGGAGTGGCCCTGTCAACATGGTTCTAGTGAGTTTGGAAGGGTGGGAGTCAACACAAAGAAAAGAGGTAGAGAATGCTGGGAGGGTTCAAGACCTGAAAGGCAATGGTCAGGCAGGTGGGAAATGACCTTGATCATCAAAATACCTGGACCAGGTAGAAGAGGGAAACCAGAGCAGAAGTGAAAGAAGGGAGACTGGAGAGAGAGAGGGACCTGAACAGAGTTTGTGACAAGAACCAGCAAAGCTTTGTCAGAGGGAGACAGTGGAGGCATGAACATAAGGATGCTGTGGCCAAAGGAGGGCTGAGAGTTTGAGATCAGACTTCTTGACCTCATTATAAAACTATCCAGGAAGCACCAACCTTTGGACCAGGGGTTCTCTAACTGTGGTCTTTGGGCCAAGCAGCATTAGGGTCACCAGGGAACTTGTTAGATATGCCAGTTCTCTGTCCTCACCTCAGATCCACTGAACCAGAAACAAAGGAAGGGACTGGGAATCTGAGTTTTAACAAGCCTTGCTCCAGGTGGTTCTGAAGCAGGCTCAAATTTGAGAACCATGTTATTAGACTGAAGAAAAGCAGGTTTAAGAAGCTCATATATACAGTCAATACCTCTAAGAGAAAGAAGGCTGGTGAGCTGTCCCATATATAGTCAGATGAAGCAAGCATGCTTTGGCAGTTTTGAACCCCAAGATGTGTTTGCACATGTATTTCTCAACTCATCTCTGCCACTCCGCTTGGCAGTGCCAGGAGTGCAATGTTTGCCAATTTCAGGATCTGACAAATTTCAAGAGTTTACCCAGTACCTCCATGCTTTGACTAATTTGTGATTGATTCACTACTGAATTTCATGGACTTGGAAGCTGAAGGGACACACTGAGGCTGTTGAGACTTCTAATATGACCATAGACATTGACTGTGAGCTTAATGACTTATTATCTCTGTCATGGTCACTGAAATCATAGGTCTTGGGTTTATGTGTTCACACAGGTTCTTCTTAATGAATCAAAATGATTTCTTTTGAAAAGAAAAGTCTTTATTCACCTTTATTTAGAGGTGTATTTCACTAAAGAGAAATAATATTTAATGTTAAGAAAAAGATTCGAAGTGGTTTTTTCTTCTTATACTTGTGACACCAACCAAAGAAATTAATTGGCAAGTTCCTAGAATCCAAACTTTTAGAACCATTAAACATAGAATAATGTTTGGGGCAATGGGTGTTTTTAAAAAAGAAAAGTTTAAACTATATCATCCACAGTATCCTGGGATGAGGGTGGGAAGTTGGTGGCCTGCTCTGCTGACCCCTTGGTATTGACTCAGAGTGTAGAGCTGGACAGTGATGATGGAGGGGGCAGTGCTGCCCAGAAGCAGAAAATTTCCTTCCTGGAGAATAACCTGGAGCAGCTCACTAAAGTTCACAAACAGGTAAGAGAGTTGCCCCAGCTTCCCGGGGCTTCTCTTGCTCTCCTGGAAAGAAGCCCCACCAGCTTTGACCATAGCATGGGGAAAAGTCTGTGGTGTTTATGCATCTTTGGAGACTATTACTGCTAGAAGGGCCCTTAAAAATCCTTTAATCTTCAGTGACTTACCTTACAAATAAAATGATAAGGAATGGAGTTTGAGTTGGGGTCTGGAGAGTAGGGTGCTCAGAGTTCTGCATTTTTATCCTGCTTCTACCCCCATCTTGGATCCAAACTGGCTTCAATGTCTCCATCTCCCATGATGCCTCTGAGGCTCCTCTGGGATCCAGAAGGCTCCTCAGAATGCAATGTGGAAACTACCAAGCTGGTTCATGCCCCTTATTATCACAGATGAGGAAATAGACTGGGAGAGGAAGTGAATTGCTTCATTCCATGAGTGGTAGAACTGGGCCTACAACCAGCTCCCTTTCTGCTCTGTCACCCTCTTCTTGGTGCTCCTTGGGTAGCAAAGGTACCTCCTGTAGGATCTTTGCTATCTCTGGAGTGGCAAAGAGTGACATGTCCAAACCCACCAGTGATTTAGGCAGGTTATTTGTCTTAGATCCTTCCTGTTAAAACACTGGCATCTTTGTGACAGTTTTCCCTTTTTAGAATTTGAGATGTGATGGAAATGTCTGATGTTTTGGACCATATGGCCAAGGGGATGTCATAGCTCCTTGACTTATTAAGTCCTTTTCAAAATTGTTGATGATGACACTTTTCCTCAGAGGGAAGACAGCAGGTTCAATGCAATTGAAGTCATTTCAGCAAATTGTTACTGAAAAGTAGAAAAGCAAAACCTGCCAGGAAAACTGAAATACGGCTCTGAAGTTTATTAATTACTTCATTCATGTACTCAATAAATATTTATTGAAAACTTTCTGCCAAGCACTGATGCTGGTGCTGGGGGCCCAGAGGAGGCTCACCTTTAAAATATATCATCCACAGTGTCCTGGGATGAGGGTGGGAAGTTGGTGGCCTGCTCTGCTGACCCTTGGTGTTGACTCAGAGCACAGAGCTGGACAGTGATAGTGGAGGGGCAGTGTCTCCCAGAAGCAGAAAATTCCCTAACTTTCTAACTTTCAAAATTTTCTTTATGCACTTGGATTCCCACAATAGCCCTATTTTGTAGTATCCTAGTTTTATGGATGACATCCTAAGACTCATGGTGGTCAAATGACTTACCTACACTAAGTCAGATGGCTGGAAACAATAGAGCTAGCCCTTGAACCCTTTCTTAAACCCAGGACAGAACTACTGCCTCTGAACTGTGGATCTTAGGTAATGAATGAGCTGTGCCCCATGTTATTTGTTGGCCTCTGGATATGTTGCAAAGCTTGGGTCCAAACCAAGACACTGGATCTTGCATCAAGTGAGGTCTTCAGAGAGCTCTAGAACATGGATTATCTTTTACTAAGTGCTTTTAAACTCGCTTAAAATTTCTTAGCTTTTGTCTGCTAATGTCCTAGTAGTAAATTTTCTCACAATGACCTTCCCTCAGGAAGCTCTGGTGGCTCTCCTGATGCAGTGGTTAAGCATCTGGCTGCTAACCCAGTTTTGGGGTTCAGATCCAACAGCTTCTCTGTGGCAAAAAGATGAGGCAGTCTGCCTCTGTAAAGATTTATAGCCTTGGAAATCCCATGGGCAGTTCTACTGTCCTACAGGGTGGCTATGAGTAGGAATCAACTTGATGGCTGTGAGTTTAATGGGCCCCTCTTCTCCAATCCTCCATTCACCCAAACAACCCCCCTCTCCCCCAAAAAACACAACCAAACTCACTGCCATCCACTCCAGTCCAACTCATAGAGACCCCCATTGGGTTTCCAGGGCTGTAAATCTTTAGGGAAGCAGACTGCCTCATCTTCCTTCCTTGTTGGAACCACTGACCTTTTGGTTAGCAGCCAAATGCCTTCACTTTACCACCAGAGTTCCTTCACGCAAATAAAACAGGAGGTAAATCCTGCCTGAGAGTGGAAGTTTCCTGTGGCTGGAAAGAACTTTTCTTTTCATTCTCCACCAACTCCCCCACCCCTCCAGACTGTTAATGGTATGCTTAGCAAATTGGAGTCACAGGGTAGGGGATTTTTTTGGTTTATGGTCTTACTGAATTTTAGAGACACCCTAGCAGGGGATGGTTGTTCTGCTGCAGGGTTTGCTTCACGTTCTTTGTCCCCTCCCAGTGGGCTGTCCTTCCTGTCAGCCACATTGCTGCCCTGGTAATGCTCTACCTTGCTCCATCTTTCCCTTCCTCCCACATTCATCCCTGCCCTAGCTGGTCCGGGATAATGCTGATTTGCGCTGTGAGTTGCCCAAGCTGGAGAAGAGACTCCGTGCGACGGCAGAGCGCGTCAAGGCCCTGGAGAGTGCACTGAAGGAAGCCAAGGAGAACGCCATGCGGGACCGAAAGCGGTACCAGCAAGAGGTGGACCGCATCAAGGAGGCCGTGCGAGCCAAAAACATGGCCAGGAGGGCCCATTCAGCCCAGATCGGTATGTACACATGTGATATCAGTGAAGGGTTCAGGAGCAATGGCGGCCTTTCACTTATGACCTTGCCAAAAGATGATGATTCCACAGGGAAGCTAGAACTTGATTATTGGGCCACTTGAGTAGGTCCATTATGTAATAAAAATATGTAATGTAATATCTGGCAGTGGTGGTTCAATGGTGGAATTCTCATATTCTGCATGGGACACCCTGGTTTGATTCTTGGCTAGGGCTCCTTACGCACAGCCACCACCAGTTTGTCAATGAGACTGGTGTATTGCTATCATGAAGGAGTTTCTAGACTAAGACAGATTAGGAAGAAAGGCCTAGTGATCTACTTCTGAAAATCAAACAATGAAAACCCTATGGATGACAATAGTCCAGACCCCAGCTGATCATGGGGATTGCACAGGACCAGGCAACATTTGGTTTTCTTGTACATAGTCACCAGGATTTGGAGGCGAACTCAACAGCAGCTGGTAACAACAGTATCAGTATCACTTTGTGATGTCAAACCTGCAGGGCTTAGGGGAGGCTGCTCCTTGCAGGCCTGTGCCCTGGGAGAATGCAAGTGTCTTATACTTGCTTCCTTATGTTGAGTGATTCTAGCATACACTATATTCTTCAAAGCCTCTGAGCTAGACAGAAAAAGCAGCCCTGGCTATAAACAGGTACAGTCTTAGAAATACTAGACTATATGGCTATTTCTCAGCCATTTCTGTTCTGCACTGGGCAGAACCATAATGGACCCTGCAGCGAGAAGCCTCATGGAGAACTGCATAAAAGTACAGCTTTGGAAATAACCTGGAAAGCTCTAGGCCTGGCAGCAGAGATCAGGTACAGTCACATGCTGGGCAGCAAGACCTGGGTAGATTGGGAAATTTGGCCCATGTGGAAAATGAAGGTGGAGTTACTGAGTCAGCGTTTTCAGGATAGAGCTGGAGGAATAGAAGTGACTTAGGGATGTTCTCTAACTATAAAGGTTTTTTTGGTAAATATCTCTAATAAGATGTGGTACTTCCCACCAGATATTTCTGTGCAAATGTATTATAAACCAACAACTTCATGTTTCTCATTTTAAAAATCATAGATTAGTGGCTCATTGCATTTGTTGGATTTCATAGTCTTTGAGAAGCTCCTGGAAAGCTATGAACGTTTTCCCCAGAAAAATGAACTGCAGGCAGAATTCTGCATCCCATTTCAGGGTTCTGCACAGACCCCCTGGAAGTGCCTGTGGGGACCTTTGGATCAGCCCCAAATAAAGCTGAAAGTCCTTTGTTTCTTATTTGAGGCTTTTATTTTCCTCAATCTCATTTATAAATAAGGTAATTGATAAATTTAAGTTCTTTCTGTCTCCTGAACATTTGAGTCCCCAGGATTGGCTAACTATACTAACAAAAGTAACCCTCAATGTCTGGTAAAAATTGATAAGAATTGTGACTATTGGTTATCATATGCGACCTATGGGTATTTGGGTGTTGCTGCTTAAGCCATTTCTGTATATTTTCTCTGCTTTGACAGCCAAGCCCATCCGCCCAGGACACTACCCAGCATCATCTCCAACGGCTGTCCACGCCATCCGAGGGGGAGGAGGCAGCTCGTCAAACTCCACTCACTATCAGAAATAAACATGAAGTGAGTCTCTCGTGACAGGGTGGATTCTCTGTGGGGCAGATCTGAAGGTAGTGCCTTCTTGTCTTCCAGAAGCCCCCACTGACACTCAGCCATGTATGTGTGGACTTTCAGTGGAGTGAAGTTCAGCTCTACCCCTGGACAGGCCCTAGAGATTCCATGTTATTAGGGACCAGAGTAAACCCTCAACTCAATCTAGAGCCTTGGGGTCTTCTGGCTGGGAGCCATCTAGGGCCTGATGAACCTGGAGCCAGGCCAGATCTATCATCACCTCCAGGGATAGGAAGAGTGTGGCAAGTGATTCATCTGAGTCTACTTATGTCTGTAGCTCCTTTCTGGAGCTGGCATCTACAATGGCATTACCTGTTTTATCAACTGCTTTTACCCAGAGCAGACAAATGTGGGTGGTTGCTTTAGTTTTGGGAACTGAACATAAAGAAAGAGATAATAGAAAATGATATTTTTATCATTACTCAACTTGAACTCAACAAGTTGGGTTTTTAAAAATTGTGCTAATTTAATGGGTCTAGACCATTTTATTTCTCTGAGATGATGGTCTACAAGATCTGGCCACAATCTACATACCTGACATTGTTCTACCAGGGGAAAAAAAAATGGTAAGTTTTAGGAAAAAGACAAATGAGTGAACAAAACCTGTCTTTTTGTAGTTGAAATAGAGAAAAGAAGGCATTACTGCTGGGCGGGACAGACAGACAACTAGGTGGCCAGAAAGTTCTGTTTAGAAAAACTCAGACTTTGAATCAATAACCCATGGGTTGGAGAATGTGGCTGTAAGACATGGCGTTTGGATTCTTTAAGCCCTTACAAATGAAGGCTAGCTTACAAAGCAGGCAAGCTTGCAGGCTGTGAAACCAGAATGATCCAAGAGCAAGAGCTGACCTAGTTCCTCCTCCAGTCCTTCAGGATGAGGAAGGTGAATATGAAGGGATTGGAGCCTTCACTCAGAAGATGACAACATGGCTGAAGTACAGCTTAAAACTTCCAAGGAGAAAGTGTTGATGCCTGCACCCAAACAAACTTCACCTGCACTGCCCCAGGCAGCAAGCCCAGAGAGTCGGATTAGTGGGAACAGACAGGAAGGCCACGGCAGCCTGAGGATAGGCAACATGTCCGTTACCATCTGCCATCTTCTACGAAGGAGGGTAGGGAATGATCTTGGCAATGGGTGACCCCTTCAGACCCAGATCCTAGCTTTGCATCAGAAATAAAATAGGTTGTTAGAAAATTGCTTTTGAGTGCATGTTTCCCATATTGGTGTTGACATGGAAGTGAACTGTGTGAGCAAGATCAAGTTTAGCAGCTTAGAACAGACAAGCTTAAGGCATTGCTTCTCAAGCTTTGGTGGATGTCGGCATCCCCTGGCACAAATGAGGGTAGGATAGGACTTTTGTATTTTTACCAAGTACCCCAGGTGATTCTGATACCCACAAAAGCTTGGGAACTACTAGCCTAAAGCAGCCATGCTTTATTCAAGACAAAAGTTTATTTGGGAAGGAAATTTGGGACTGTTTTGTCAATGGCTGGTTAAAGAGCTCTACTGTGACAACAGAAACTTGCCTCTTAACTTTAGACTCGCTGTCCTCAGCAAATGCCTTCTTTCCTCAAGGTTACCTCTGGTCCAAGATGCTTCTGTAATTCCAGCCGTAAAGACTACATTGCACATTTAGCAGCCAGAGGAAACAGGGACGGGATAAAAGCAGCCCCCCAGCTGAATCAACTTCGTTTAGGCAGTCTTCCCAGAAACCCCATAGAACACTGAGGCTTACATCCCTCTGGCCAGAGCTGCAGCACATAACCTTGTCTAGCTGCAAGGGAGTCTGGGAAAGGTCTTTTAGCAGGACATCACTGCTCCAGAGAACAGTAGTGTTCTTTTACCGGGAATAAAGAGAATAAGGGTATGGGTAGACAACTAGCAGTCTCTGTGTTTATAGAACACCTTATATGGAGCAGTGCTGCACTAGATGTAATACAAACATTAGCTGACTTAATGCAAGGGTTAACTCCTGGCAAGCTCTTAATAAATATACTGAACCAGGGACTTGCAGTGGATCCAATAATGTTCTCTCTGTCAGACCTACATTTTATGTAAAGTACATGTAACCAAGTATCATCTTATCCTGAACATTAGAAGTCAGTAGGCCTGGTGAAAGTTTCAAGACCTTCAAAGTAACAAAACCACCCTCACCCATCATGGTGGTTCATCTCTCTTTATTCAAAGTGATCTTTTTACCTGAGTTGGGACCTTTAGATACACTTCACCTATTCATACAACCCTTGTAGCTATGCCACAGCATAAACATGCTTCCTTTTGCAGTTGTCAGAATCAAGGTGTCGTTGAGAGAACTGGATTTAGACACCAGAAACTTGGATTCAGGTCTCAGATTTTCCACTTTCTGGCTGTGGGACTTTTTAACAAGAAGTTGCTTAACATTGGAGTTTGTTTATCTGTCACATGTGGAGAAGACTTTATCTGGGTCATTAGTATTGACGTCAGGGTTAAATGAGCTCTTGTTTCTAAGATGCTTGGCACGTAACAAATGCTCAAAAATGTAAGGGGCTAGTATAGCGTTAGTAGTGCAGTACTTGACACATAGTAGGTGGTCAATAAATGTTGACTTATATCCCCTTTATGTTGTATCTCAAAACTCAAACTCACTAACGTCGAGTCAGATCCAACTCAAAGCAACCCCTCCTTAGGTTTCCGAGGCAGCGTTACTATGGAAGTAGATTGTTCAGTTTTCCGAGGAGTGGCCAGTGGGTTTGAACCGCCAGCCTTCTGGTTAGTAGTCAATGCCTTAGATACTATGCCACCAGAGCTCCCTTATGTTACATAGTTGTTACAAAATAGTTTTATAGTCTCTGTGTCAATAGATTATAACCACTGAGTGAGCAAGGCCCATGTCTAACTGGGTATCTTATTTAGTACAGATATAGAGATTTTAAAGATGATCATCTCCTAAGTCTAAAAGTTAGGGGGAGGAGCACTGCATATTTTAAAGAAAATGACTGGATGTTTATCTGTGGAGAATGGCAAGTGTGATTAGAAAGACAATCTACTTTCGTAGAGATACTGTCTCGGAAACCCAAAGGAGGGATCACTATGAGTCAGAACAGACTCAACGGCAGTGAGTTTTTTTTTTTTTTAGTGGAATGGAGAATTATAATTGAAGGTTAGGAAACTTTAAATCATTTTTTTTTTTTTTTTAATAATTGAAAATGTGGAATTCATTACTTAGATGAGATCAAACTGTTTTGAAGTGGTCTTTCCTGACCTTTGGAATCCTCATTTTGAAGTGTCTCTGTCCAGGATATCAAAAACTGCTGAGTCTTCCTAGCCCTGTTTTTGAAGCCAGATCTGGATATGGAGACACGACCAAGTACTCACCGGAACTTGCTGGTTAGGGTGGCAGAGAATAAGGAAAGAAGGAGGAAAATCAAAGGTACTTCCTAGGTTTTCCCAACAAAACAAAACAAGAAAACCCAAATCTAATGCTGTTAAGTCAATTCTGACTCATAGCAATCCCTTGGGAGAAGAGTAGAACTGTCCCCTAGTGTTTCTTGGAAGCAGACTGCCACATCTTTCTTCTGCAGAGTGGCTGGTGGGTTTGAACTTCCACCTGTTTGGTTCATAAGAGAATGCTTTAACCACTGTGTCTCCAGGGCTCCTACTTCCCAGGTCTGTTTAGGCCCTAGCAACTAGGTAAGTATTGGCACTTTCTTAACCATGATATGGGAAGTTGGAAAGTCCGTGGGTTTTATGGAAAAACAGAGTTTTCATCATCAAAATGAAGAAATGCTTCTTAGACATCCAACCTAGACGAGCAGTTGGGTTGATGATTTTGGAGCTCAGGAAAAGGTCAGGGCCAGGAATCTTAAAAAGAGAGTTATGAACTATAGATTATGTTTAAGGCCATGGGTCTGGAGGAGGTAATACAGAGAAGGAGGAGGTAGACCAGGATCTGGGGAATGCCAAATAGAAAGGTAAGAATAAGGAAGGCCCCGCAAAGGGGCCTGAGAAGGAGGATGTGAGGTACCCGAGGCAAAGTGAAGACCCTACTCCTAGCAGGAGAATTAGCAGTTGCGTTAACTGCTGCTCAGAGCTCAAGTACAATGGCAACGGACTGATGGTTGGTGAAGGCCAGATGGAGGTGACCTTGAGCAGCTTCAGTGGAAGGGAGGAAGCAAGTTCATTTAGCATGGACTGAAAGGAGAGTGAATGAGGACTCGGTGGTTCAGTGGTAGAATTCTTGCCTTCCACGTGTGAAGCCCGGGTTTGATCTCAGCGAGTCCACCTCATGCACAGCCATCACCACTCTGTCAGGAGAGGCTTGCGTGCTGCTATGATACTGAACAAGTTTCAGTGGAACTTCCAGATTAAGATGGAATAGGAAGAAAAGCCTGGAGATCTACCTCTAACAGTCAGCCAGTGAAAACCCTTTGGATCAGACTAGGCTTAGTGGTCTGATTGATAGAGACTGGTGGGACACTTGAGACTATGGCCCTTAGACATCCTTCAAGCCTAGAACTGAACTCAACCCCTGTGGCTCAACTTCCAGCCAAATGACAGGCCTGACACACAGATTTATAAGGTGAGTGCTAATACCAGCAAGGTACGCACTCATTAGCACAATCAACCATATGAGAAGGACAGCATTTGCCCAGAGATAAAGCTGAGAAGGTAGGACACGATAGGAAAGAAGGATGAAGGGAAATGGTAAACACAGGGAGGAAATGGAAGAACACTGTGTTACATTGTGGGGATTGTAGTGATGGTCAAATTGTATATGAATTGTTGAATGGAAAACCAAATTTCCTGTAAACTATCGCCCAAATCACAACACACGCCTTTGGATCACACAGTCTGATTGACTGATCATGGGTTGGTGCTGAACTGGGCAACATTTCATTCTTTTGTGCATGGGATTGCCGTGAGTGTGGGTCCACTCCACGGCAGCTGACAATAACAAAGGGAGTA